GGGAAAACAATGCATAGAAAATATCCCGGTAAACTGGTAAAATATGAAGTGAATATGAAAACCGCACATATCTCTGCACCACAGAAAAATAGATTTAGTCATGAAGTGAATGATGTCGTATATATTTTAAGTTTTTTTATTTTCACATTTAATCTAAAATGAATGCAACACACGATAGCTTCGAATTTCAATATCAATCAAAATAAACGATGTTTTTTCTCCTCCACAGCACATATATACAATTTTCCAATAAAATAATAATGATTTTTGGGTACAACCTTTCCGTTGTCACTGAAGCCATATGGTGAATGTGTATGCAATGTCAGTTTGTTTGATTAAATTCGTAATCAAAATCTCTGAAATGTTGTAGCTGGTATCGAAAATACAAAACTACACCGAATATATGTACGAAGCATTCACTGTTTTGGTTTGTAAGTTGTTTTTGGTTTTGTTTGGTGCATTTATGTTGTTGTTATATGTACGCTTAGTTCATCCATGCGGATAAGCTTTAGCTGCTTAGAAGGATTGAGCATTTGTTTGAAAAACTATCGAATGAAAACAACTAACTGGCTACGATTTAACTTGATATTGCGTCATTGGAATCTTTTGCAATGCAATATACTTTAATGTTAAATGTTTGCTGCATCTTGTTCGTGCCCATTTTGTGCCATTGAATTTGGTTGGTCATTGCACAAATGATGCAGATCAAAATACGGTTAAACTTGTATTATATCCTTGAAAATGCGAATTACGATCATTTTGAGATTTCCGATGTGTGCAGCTATATCCATATCAACTTATATATATTCAGTGCTTTGTAATGCTTTATTACGCTTTGTTATGCTATGTGTGGCACATTTTTCACATAATTCCGCAAATAATGCTATAAATTGTAGTTTCACAGATTCGGAGAAAATTCCAAACAATTCGATTCAGATGTTTGTTCAGTTTGAGAATGGCGTCGTAAAGATAACATTTCCATTTAGTTCCTTTGATCTCTTTTTATCTCTCGTACCCCCCCTCTCGCTTTTTCCTCTCTTTCTATCATTCGGTCTCCTTTTTTCTACTCGTCCTTGGTCTTCATTATTCCTTTTTCTCTTGCACAGATGCTTTTTCGCCCGGACAAAGCTAATGATGGTTGCCATGTAATGCGTATTTTGCGAAAATTTGTATTGAAGCGCATCAGGTAACTGATGTCAATTCTGTGATCTTTTCATTGGACGATGAAAATGCGTATCTCTCATAGCTGTCAGACGACAGAAAATCATATTGAAACAGTAATATAGCACTACTCATATGACAGGCTGTGAAATTACAATTTACTACGGCAATGACTTCAATTACATTGTTAAATTGACGACTTACAGCACACACACATAAATACACCGTATTTATCATTTAAACACATATAACTTCGTCAAAAGCATTGGCATTTTCATCGAAAACGGGCGACAACAGCAACGCCAATGGTGCTGTTGCTATTCATTGTTCATATATCAATGCATGAAATATGATTTTCTGGTTCACGAACATTGTACACTCTCTCATCGGGTACACACAATATATATACACAAACACACGACAAGATATCAATCATAAATATGGGTCGATTCGGTTTGCCACTATTCTCTGTGCATACGACATAATCACGCTGTTGCTGTTGGTTTTTTTTTTATTGCAATTCTTTTTCTCTTCTCTCTTGTGTTTTTTGTTCAGGTTTTTTTGCTGTTCAACACACAGAAGACACACACACATCATACGCCTCTTACACATGAACTCTCTTTTTTTATTTCATTTATCGTTATAATTTGATCATAAATGCATAAGTTTTATATGCACACAAATTAAATGAAATGCGATTTTGAGCGATGACATAACGCCATGCCATATACATGATTGTTATATGATGGCAAAACGAACGATTGTTGTATGAAAAGCCCCAAGAAAGAAAAATGAGTTAAGTTCGAGTGTGTCGACAATTCTCGTTCGCTCCGCTCTCGCTTAACCTATCCATCTTTCTCTTTTTGTTTTATGTAAATTGCCCGTGTGCGCGCCCGCTATGTTTTGCGTTGGCAACCATAATGTGCAATCAACTTAATTGAATTGTATTTTGATATGAAACGTTTTATTTGCGTTTCTTCTGCGAACGTGACACCAACAATATCAACTTGCAATGAACAACAACAACTGAACGCTCACTCATGTTGGCTGTATGGTGCTTTGCTGGTAATTTCAGTGGAAAGAAGAGGAGAATTTTTTTTTTGTGTCCACAGAGTTTATTGATGATGTGTGCTTTATGAACATTTTTTAACCTTGACTCTTAAATTTTTCATCAATTTTTCTCTTCAATTCTCGGAAAACTCATCACAAATACATATGGTTTGACTTGATGTGCCCATGTTCAACATTAATGTGATTTAGATTGGCGCATTAGTGTTCCATACATGTACGTACATCGAATGATTTGATTCATCACCACCAACTAATGCGTACCAACATACACTTTACGTGTAGGATTTTAAATGGAATTATAATTCGTGTGCGTGGCAGTGAATAAACGGTAAACGTTTGCAAGCATTGAAGAGACGGAACATTGGACAACAGGAGAGTAAAAGTGAGCGAGAGTTGGAGAAACAGTTTTGACAATGAGAGTGAAAGGGTAAGAACAAGAGAGAGAGAGAGAAAGAGAGAGAGAGATAGTAAGAAAGTGAGAAAGTGCGAGTGAGAGAGTGAGAGAATAAGTGAAGTTTCGGTGCGAATAGATGTCAATAAATTGTTAAATCGATTTTAGACACATTTGTCAAGTGGTTGGAGATACTTCAATTTCATTGCAAGGTGTTGACGGTTGTCATCGTTCTCATGTACGATGATTTCATATATGTTATCGTCGTCTTCATTTTCGATCTCTTTCAATTTCCGTTTTGTACGGTAAAAGATAACCAGGTTTGTTTGCTGCAAGCATCAAAACATACGTTCCACCTGATCTCGGACATTTATAAGCTAAAGCGAGAAAGAATGAGTAATTCTTCGCATCTTTTCAATCAGAAATGTTAATAGGAATGGATAAAATCAAATCAAAATGAGAGAAAATCTTGCTATTGAATCATACTATACATATTGCTATTTCTATGCATATACCCAAAGCTATACGCACATAACCATATGTAAATATTTAATAAATATACTTAAATAATACTGATAATACTGAGCTATGTGGGGTTTATACTAAAATTGTTATGTATTTATATATATAAGTAGGAATCTCTTTGTGTATAGATGTTCTGGGCCATTCATTTTTGCCAGATGAAAAATCGCTTTTACATTATTAGAAAAGTATATGACCATACGTAAATCAAATAAATAGCAAAGGAATCATTTTGTGAGCGTTGGACGGCGGAAAAATGGGACAGTACACAGAAAAATGCTTGTTATCGGTCGCTAAAAATGGACATGCTGTTGAAAGCAAAGCGCACGAATTATCTAATACAAAAAAAGAGGAAAAAGGAGAATACCACAAGCGAAACATTCTCGCAGAGGATATAAGTACACAAACCAAAAATGACATCCTATAAACACATCTTTTTAAAACACAAAAATCAACAGATATTTTCAACTATTTGCATATTTTTACTTTCTATATCTATATATATTCACCGGATTAATGAAGTCTCTGGGTTTATGTGTGTGTCGAATGTAATATCTTTTCTAAGTGTTGTGTCTCTTTTTTTTCCCTAAAAATGCGGGACGCAAGCACACACACACACATACTAAAATGGGATAATAAGAAAATATTCATATAGATTTACCGAACTCGTTCTCTTGTGTATGTCGCTTTTATGCGCTACAAAAATATGTATAAATTGGACTCAAAGGGAAGATTTCGTTGAATTTTCATGAATTTTATGACTTGGTTTTTGTTACCACATCATATTTTTTTTTTTGTTCGTTTCGGGCTGGTGTCGGTCGATGGAAAAACCACATAATCCTGTTGACATCGGTCTCTCGATGCGTTTCAATAAAATATATGTACGACGATGTTAAATTCTATCAACAATTTTTATGTTTAGAAAAATTTCAACCACTTTTCGGTTGTTTCACTTGAAATACTTTGGTTTTGGTGATGGTTGGCGTACACTGTATTTTATTGGTTATATATTGGCTGATTTTTCCCATAAAAAATGTCTTACATATGTTATGATGAAGGGCGAAAAGTGAATCGAACCGTTTTTATCAGGCAAATCGATTCGGATGAGTTTTTGTTCGTCGTTCAAAGTGTAGTTGATTGGTCCGTTGGTACATTTAGCTTTTCGTCATACCAGTTGTTCTACTGATTCCGCCGGGGAATTGTGCGTTACTTTTTTTAGAACCTTTTCCCATCAAATCTCAATTTTATTTTTATTTTTTATTTTTTCGTTTAAGTTCGTTTGGTACTTTTTTCTTTCACAATTTTCAAACAAAAATAGCTTCAGTGGAAGCACGAAGGGATACACGTGAAGAACAGGGAAATTTACTTGAGATAAGTGGCCACCGCTAATTTAGTTCAATGTCAGTAGCGAAAAAATCATGTATGGAACTTTAATTCAACTGTACCATATAGTCTTGTAAAATGTTATATATTTTTTGTTGCTTCTTTCTTTTCTCGTTCGTTCTTTTTTACGATTTGATTTTTCATTGTATAAGCAACTCTGTCGAAACGGTTCTTTATTAGGTTTTTTTTTATGATTCGCCTTCGGAAAATAATAATAAACGATTGCACCATTCACACAAACTTAAGTTTGATTGCACATATTTGACAAAGTCGGGATGAATATATGCCATACGACACGAAAAAAAAATCATCAACTGAAAATCTTGCGACGAAAAAATATATATTTCTCAACTCAAATTGGATTCAATTCAATTCGGAAAACTCACTGGAGAAAAGAACAACAATAAAATGTAAGAAAACGTATTAAAAAATGTATATATCTCTAATAAAAAAAACTGTCGTATTGTAAGAGAGCACTGATCGAGTTCTTCTTCTTTTTCTTTATCTTTTTGTCGTAACAGATATACACAATGATGATGACAAAACGACTTCTTCATCTGTTTTTCAGTTGTTTCTTTTCTTTCTCTCTCTACAGCAGTTCAGCTACTGTTACTTTATTGCTATATTTTCAAGTTTACAGTGATTACGATATATATTGCGTACGGTATATATATTATGTATGGGTAAATGTCACCGTATTAAACACGGCGACGAGATATGATTTACGAAGCGAGAGACAGTAAAGAGCACGTCGAACGTGAAATAAAATTGCACGCGAACCAGGTGCCTTCCATGGACAAACTGAATCAAAGGTTACACGCGCTTACATACAGAACAATGCGATTATTTTTCGCTGTTATTCTTCGCTTTCTCGCGTCTCTCTTTCTCTCATTGCGAAACACAGTGTGTTTGCCAAGCAATTTTGTCAGCGAGCAGTGAGTTGGTGTCCTCTGTGTGTGCAATGTGAATTCCGTCTTGAATTTCGTTTCGGCATTTTATTACACATTCAATTTCTTCTTCAGTGTTCGGTGTGTTTTTGTACACAGAAAAGAAGCCCAATGTGTTATTTTACTCTTTTTACATTGCAAGAGATTGTCTGTATTTGTGCTTGCCTCGTGTGCGCGCGTTTGCCTTTCAGTTCTTTTGCTATATCCTCTCCACCTATATATATTCTCTATACGTTATTTGCTGGTTGCTGATTTTACCATTTGTTTTGTTGAATAATATTGTTGTTGTGTTTTATTTTGCCATGCCACTCACAATCGACTCTGCGATGTTTTGCCATTTGGCGTTGATTTCAGTTTACATTCTGCATATAAGTGAGATAGAGCTTCGGGGGGACTTTTTTCTCCGTTTTTTTTCTTCTGCTATTGCTTTTATTGTTGTTTCTATTTCAACAAAACGTCGTACACAGAACGAATGAGCAAATAAGACACAAAAACTGAACGGAGAGAGTATTATATGAGTGCATAAGTGGCATAAAATGCGGAGAATGTCGATTTTCTATCCTTGTCTCCATTTCCAATTCTACATCATGCACACATACACTTCATATAGCGATGTACAGTGTACACACTTGTAGCATTGTAAAACGATGATGTTTGAGTCGTTTTTTTTTATTCATTTCGTGATGAGCATTATTCCCGTTGACATGATTAATCTGATGTCTTAGTTTTACATTTTTCTTGCTTATCGTGTCTTTTATGAGAAAATGAAAAGTTGACATTAAATCAACAAAAGCTAACAAAAATGTACACAAAAATTATTGCCGTTTCTTGTGCGTCTCTTTCGCTCTGTTTTCATGTGTCTCTTTTCACTCTTTCTTATGGGTCTCTTCCACTGATGTCTCTCTTCGACTCTCCAGATGCAAGCATTTCGTCGTTGGTTGTCTCATTTTAATGCATTCGAATTATCATTAGTGCTTATGCTCGCTTTTTCTATCCTTAGCCGTTTCAATGCGATTTGTTCGTTTACGCACACTCCAAAATATTCAAAGCGGAGAGATTTCACTCTCCTACACATACGTATGTTTTATCCTACTACTCTCTCTCTCTCTCTCTCTCTCTACGGTGCCCCCCCAAAAACATACATGATAACGAGCATAAAGAAGACAACCGATCCGAATCCATTGCTGTCCTGTGCACACATACCATGTGTACTACCGCGCTGCAAACTACATTGTGTACACACCAACAATAGTAATTGAATGTATGTGAAGAAGAGAGAGAGTGAGAGAGAGAATGCGATCAGAACGATAAAATAGCAAATGGAAAATATGTTTATACACATCATCAGTTTGCATTTCAGCTTTTTGTGAACACATGCCAATGAAAATTTATCCAAAAACCGACACATTCCACGCGCTTTTCCTTCGTTCAATGTTTTCCGTAAGCCATTTCGACAACGACTATGACTATGTTGATGAGAAACGATTGTCGAAAGCGATGAAAGAATTATTATCAAAACTTGCGATAACAATTTTATCCATTATTATCATTGTTATTGAGTTTTTCCTTAAATGGCACACATACAATCAGCAAGAGAAATTTAAGAGAAGCGACTGAAAAAAAATTCAAACTTTGACTTCCAACAAATGTCAAACCGCCACTTGAAGCAACCAAAACATTATGTTCATTTTGTAAAACGACGACGATGGATGGTTGCTGTTTTCTAACGATAACATTTTAACCACGATTACATTATCAAAAATTACAACACATTCACGCTTTTGTCTATGAATTCGATTGTAAGTTTGCAAGAACAATTAATTGGCAACGAAATTCTGGATACAACGCAAAATTAATTGAGAATACATTCACAATATACATTGTTCTATGTATTAAATGAATCGCATAAATTTCCATTGCATTTGTGGTCTAAAACCGAATTTGTATTACGAAAATCATTCATCAACCGCATGGTACTTGACCATAAACATCCGCTCTCCCGCTCAATCAAACTGAACCGCAACTAAATTCGTAAGCCATAAATCATGCGAAATAATCATATGATTCAGTTGGCGCACGCCAACTAAATAATTGCCAAGACACATATACAAACATCAAACAGAACAACAACATCAATTTGAGCAATAAATAAACAACAACAAATTTACTTACATAATCCATGTATGCAGTTCAGAGCACTATATGTCGTTGACAATTTGACACCAAAGCAACCGCCTCTATCTCTCACTTGCGTTTAAATATGCGAAAATAGTTCTAATTAACTGGGCACAATTTTTGTAGTTATGTATGTATGTCACATTTATGTATTCAAACAATATGGAATTACAATTTGGTAGTTGAAGTATATTATGAAGAGGTAATCTCGTTGCAATAAAGTGAAAAGTTTTTTTTTGTTTTTTACTGTCGAGTGCAATCAATGTGAGTAGTTAAATTTCAAGTGACCATTGGTCGAAGTGCAAAAACAACAAAAAAACATTGATCTTTAAATAATTGCTGACACTAACTTTTTAACAGAATTATTTTCTTCACAAATGGTTCTGTGACACCACAAAATGATTCACCAATTGTAAAGTAAAATCTGGTGAAAACCAAAATGAATTTCGATTTCGAATGACACAGCACATACGCACTACATTCAAACTGTTCGATATAAACTTGGCTACTAAACGACTTGAAATGTACCCACGAATTAGTTTAGTTTTTCGACAATACCGATAGTGTACAATATACATACAATACATATGATACTGATATACCTGTAACGTACCGCTCACTCTCTGTACAGGTTCAGTTTTGATGTCGAGGCGGCGGTAACATACATTGCAACGGCATCATGGTGTAAACAACAATGTAAGAGCGAATGAGACCCGAAATGGCACGCACATGGAAAAGCCAAGCTAAACGACACACACACAGAGAGAGAGAGAAAGAGAGCGTGTTGTTGTTGTTTTTGTGTATTGTCATTCCATTGCTCATATATTCAAATCAAGTGTTTTAAGATTCGGTATTGAGTTGAGTTTCAGTCGATATACATCGTATTAATTATTACTATTCGTTATTCGTCTATTTTTATATTTTAGTTTTTTTTTCATCGTCGACGCTGTCGTTGCTGTTGTCTCTCATTCAATCAGTCGATTTATGAATTCTGTGTTGTGGTGTTCCAGTTCGAGCGTGTGTTATTTTCGTTGTTGTTTTTCAATTTTGTCTGATATTTGGTCTCGAATGTAATCTTTCTACGCTCGCGCGCATGGTCACCGAATTGATATATACGACGAACTGGTTAACATTAACGAATTCATAGTAATTGAAGGCAATTGAGTCAACGGAATAAAAATTCAATATTTATGTTTTCAAGTAAATGTGCGTAGTTTGTACACTTATATGCGTACATACCAAATTCGTTGGAGGTGCGAGACAACAACGGATCTATCTAATCGCTGGGTGAAATCAAAAGTTGACGATATTCATTAAATATTCCAAAAATATACGTAGCCGCTAATTCAAAAACAACGACACATATATGTATTTACAAGTGCCGAAAAGTGGGAAAAATGCTGCTTCAATTCGATTCTAACGTTATTTAACGAGTGATTGTGGATTTCGTGCTCGAAATGTGTCATTTAACTTTTCCATTTGAATAATATCCATTTATCATTGTCCATTAAAAAACGAATATCTAAAGCAATACAAAACCAATTGGCAGCAAGTTGGCATCGTGCACAGATGTCAATACATTTTGAATACATATTCTGCAGACATCTAAATGGAAGTAGAAAATTGCGAACATGCTTGATGTTCAATTTAAAATTTAAAGTGTGATTCCATGTAACAAGCAGACGCGCATAAATTGCAAACGGACAACTAGAGTGTCGGTTCGAATTGCAGATGGTGGTGGTCTTCGATTTACGTGTTTTGTTTGAATTACCATTTAAAAGCTGGACCAGTTAACACTAGCTTTAAATGTGAATACACGCAAATCATCATATATTTTAAATAAAGTGTTTTCTGAATTGAAAATGACAGAATCAATTTTCCTGCTATTCAGTGTGGCCTTCATGAGAATATTGGTCTTGTGAAATGTTGAATCTTAATAGCATCGAATCAATCTGGATTTGGCCATTATATCAATTTGCTCTATTTGAAATGTGTATACGGATATAAATTTCTTTTTGTGGGGATTGACATCGACGATTCGATGCGTCGATAAGACGCTTTTCACACACCACCATCGATTTTATGATGGATTATTGTATCTCATTCTGTGCTCTGTCTCTTTCGCTTTCATGTATTGTTTGGTCAACAAGTTGAGAAGTATAATTTACTTTTCCGCTCAATGGCGACAAAATATGTTGAATGCTAGCAAAGCGTGTGGATTATTGGTATTATTATTGCCT